GACAAAATGAAAGCCGAAATGAAAGTGCTCAGTGGTCAGATTGATAGTTTCAAGAAGAAAATTAATAAACAGTAATAATTTTAATTTAAATATATATACATGTACTTGTAGAAATATGTCTTCATTAGGACCATTTGCTGACAGCCTTAATATAAATTTTAAAACATTAGAACCTGGAAATGAAGAACAACTTGTCCAAAATATACCACAATTTATGATTAAAAATGGTTTAGTTATTGAACTTTTTATATATGCTAAATCTGAAAAAAGTGAAAAAACAATTCAACCAGAATGTAGAGTAGCCGAAATATTGTCGAAAATTTGTGAAATCGAATTTACCATCATAAATTTACCAACTTTACGAGCAAAATTGTATAAAATTCTTGCATGTAAAAAAAAAAAGGAGGAAAGGGACTAAAAACATTCAATAATGAACAATTCTACATACCGATTCAGAGTTTGTCAAATACCCAGAGTGCAAAATTCAAGAGAATTGTACAAACATCACAACTATCAGTAATTAAGGAACTTAAGGAAGAAAATGAATTTCTTGAAAAAGAAAAAAATAAAGTGGAAATAGTGAAAGAAAAATATTTGAATGTCAGAAAAGAGCGAATTTTATTAAAAAGAAAACTCGATCGTGCTTTGAATAAATCTGAAAACAATAAAAAATTTAAGAATGAATGTTCAAAGCTGTCTGTTGTGAAAGACAGTATCATTAAGGAATGTAACAGCTTAAGGGAATCTGTTGAAAGACTTAAGTCATTGAAAACAAAGTATGTTGAATTGTGTAATGAAATAAAAGATATAAAGACAGATTTCAAACATAAAGAATTAGAATGCATAGAACTTAAAAATGATAACAGTAATATGTTAGATGTATTAAACGATAGTATAGAGACAATGGGAGAAGCAAAGAATACATTAGATGATACGGTTAGTGAAAACAATGATTTAAAAGAGGAAAATGACTATTTGACTGCACTTTTGCATGATGATGATCAGATGGTGATTGACACCTGGGACGAAGAAAAACAAACTTTTAAGCCCGAGCTAACTAAATGTATTATGAAACTGCTTGACCTTAACATCTCGGCTAGACATGTTTCAGATGTAGTTAAAGAAGTGTGCATGATGTGTGGAAAAGTTCCAAAAAGGCTTCCTAGCAGACAAACAGTTGATAGGATGAATGACCAAAGACTTTCGTTGGCCTTAAAACAGACAGAATCTTTATCAAAAAAAAATAACCTAACATTGTATTCAGATGAAACCTCCAAATATGGACGGTGTTTTGAAGTATTTGCTGCAACTGACGAAAACCAAAACAGCTATTTACTAGGCTTGCGTGAAATGTCATCTAAGTCTGCAGAAACGGTTTTAGATACATTAAAAACTATTTTGCAAGACATAACTGACTTGTGCCAGGAAAAAGAAAATAATGAAAAGAAAAGCAATGTCGGCTATAGACTGCTATCTAATATAAGAAATACAATGTCCGATCGGGCAGCTACAGAGAAAAAGTTTCATACATTACTGGAAAGTTTTCGGATTGATATTTTACCAGATTTTGTACAGAACTGGGATGAGTTGAGTGCTGATGAAAAGGATGTGTGTTCAAAAATGAACAATTTTTTCTGTTCTCTGCATCTGTTGGTTAATTTTGCGGATGTATGCACAGTGGCATTAGGAAAATTTGAAAAACTTTTCAATAAATCGTTAGGTGCAGAGACACTTGAGGCAGACAGCGAAGACTCAGAGGTTAAAAATGCAGAATGTGGAACTATAAGGCTTATTCGAACATGCAGCAAATCATTTGCTAAAGGTGTTGATGAGAGAAATGGTGTACATGGGGATTTCAAAACTTACACGAAAGCAATCGGTGACAAAGTAAACTTTATAAGATATAAACACAACAGGTTTAATGTGTTTTTCCAACTTGGACACACCACCTATCATCATAGGAACAATATAAAAACATTTCTTGAATCCATTCATAGCTGTACAAATAAACTGTTATCATCTGTTTTGGCAGATATCAAGGAACCATTGTATATTGCCGGTTCAAGAGCCTTAGGTTTAATATCCAAACTTGTATGTGGGCCATTGTGGAGGAAAATTGAGGACAGTAGTCATGTATTTTATCTTAATGAACTTTTGTCTGCATTGTTGGATTTTTTGGAGATGGGCAAAGTAGACAGTTCTATAATTCTATCGGGAAATTTGAAGCCATTTCCAGATCAAATCAATGATAATGATGAAATTTTAAATGAACTTCTTAAACCAGATGATTCTGATGAACTGACTGTACAAATACTGCAATCTCTGTTTGCTGTTATGATTACTTTATTAAAGAGGCAAGCAGGTGACCATCTACCAGGTGGGAAGTTTTCAACACCTACTCAGCTGACACAAGAACAGACCAGAAGTTGTCTAAAACATAACAAATTACCAGAGTTTTTCTTCGGACAACTTGATTTCCTTATGAAGTACAGACCAAATGCAACAACACTTTGTAATGAAGCTTATCTTCTTTTTTCTCATAATAAAACAGATGAATGGCTTAATAACCTTCCTGCATCTGAAAGAAATCAGATGATTGAGGACAGTAGAAAAGAAGGTAGAAAAATACGACATCAATTTAAAGAAAGATTAAAACAAATAGAATCAGAAAGATTAATAAAATTAAGAAAGAAGGAAGAGGAGATTAGACTCAAAAAGATCAAACAGCTACAGAAAAAACAAAATATGACAAATGACATTATGTACTTTGGACTATGGCAAAGTCATGAACAAGTTAGTCAACACTTAATGGAATTTTCTACAAATACAGAAAAAATAACAGCTATAAAGGCACAACTTAATTTTCGAAAAAACGTTCTAAAACAGATTCCCAGTGACAAATGCCTGTTTGCATTTTCTGCGGTAAAAAAGAAGTTTAATGTTGCCCAATTAGAATCAAATTTAAACACTTTAATTTCTGAATCAAAAACTACTACATGTACTAATGAAAGAACCACTGTCAATAAACCACTATTAGTTGGAAAATGGATCGAGCATAAATTTCAAAACAATATCTTATATAAAGGAAAAGTATTGTCCGTTGTTCCTGGGTTCATTGAATGGTACAATGTTAAGTATGAAGGTGACTCAGCAGTCTATGTTTTTAAACTGCAAGAAGATTATGCAGCTGGCGATCTCCAGATTTTTGCCATGTCACCTTCGCAAGGTTTAATCAGACTCATGTTGACTTTGTTCAAATGTTAGTTTGTTCTTTGGTTGTTCTTTGGTTCCAAGTCTGGAGCCTCTGGCCTCAGTAAGACTTTTATGTTTTTTTATTTTTAGTTCATCTATGTTTCAGAGTTGCTACATCCATTTTCACTGATCTGTTAAGGTCCAGCTAAAGCCCGCCTCTGAGTGTGGGATTTTCTCGCTGTGTTGAAGACCAATTGTTGGCCTCGGGTTGTTGTCTCTTTGACGCATTCCCAATTTCCATTCTCAACTTTATTTCTTAAACAGAATGGTTAGGTCATTAACAAAAAATGTCGTGGCATGATAGAGATATCAGTGTAAGAATTTTTTTTTATGTGCTAAAATATTGAACATTCTATAAACAGTAAAAGACCTCTTTTGCAAATTAATGAATTTATTAGAAAACTTGATAATTTTAACTATATACAGATTGAAAGTACAAGAAATATATCCTAGATCATTAATACACTTGATTATATCTAGCGACACCATAAATTCTAAAATAAATTATGATAAATTATGGTCTGTTAATATACTCGTACTTCTAATAGTAAAGGTTTCTCTAGAAATATTCCATTGTATTACTGTTATGTTACAATTTTTTTTATTGCTGCTTTTGTTTGTTTTTGTTGCTTTTTGTTAATTCTGTTGAATGCACAGAATCTTCTTGCAGTAATATGATAGTAAAAGCAGACATGTAAATATACAGATAACAATGACATTCTTCGCAAGATTTTTTGGATAAATATTTTAATATATAAAGGAAGAACAATACTTTCGGTTGTTTAAAAAATAGTAGCATGTAAATTTTAATATATTTTAACTTTGTACTCATAAATCATCTTTTAAAGCTATTGTAGTTGCAGCTTTGTCTCTGTCATTTTAATTTATGTATTAAAGAACATGTTAACATTGAATATGATTATTATTGATATAAAAAATTCTTGAATCCAATAAATTAAGTTTTATTAATATATATGTTTTTGCAGGTTTAGAAGAGCAGTGAGGTTTATAGAAGAGCAGTCGAGATTTATAGAAGAGCAGTGAGGTTTATAGAAGAGCAGTCAGCGAGATTTATAGAAGAGCAGTGAGGTGTAAAGAAGAGCAGTCAGTGAGATTTACAGAAGAGCAGTGAGGTTTAAAACGAAAAACAGCTTAATACAGAAAAAAAAGGTATCCAGAGCCAAGTCTTTTTGCAAAAATGACAGTAAATGTGTTATAATTTTAAAGTTTTATACCAGTGTATTCTTTCCATAATAAAACTATGTTCATTTCTATTTAATTCTTGATGATTTGCCTTGCAATTAATCATTCATTTAGAAAAAAAATGATTTTGACGAAAGGGAGATAATTTGATTTACAAAATTTATGATATTTTATATTTTTTGCAAAATTGTATTTTTCTATGCTACACATCTTATTTAAAGGTATATTTTTATTTTTATTAAACCAGTTAAGTAATTTTGGAAATAAAAAGTAAGCCAAATATTATTTATTTTTGAAAATATTCATGGTTGACGCTTTTTGTGGGGAATATTTAAGGTTAGATAATTTGACTGACATTTTTTAAATCTTTAAACATGGATAGAAAAATGTTATCTCAGATTATCTTGTATTTATTGCTGTTTTATATCAGTAAGACTCTGAACTAGTGGAATGTTACTTCAAATTACTTAGAAATATCACTAAAAAAATCACTTGAGCATTGCTACATATAGCATTATTTTTTGCATGTAATATTTGCCACTGTACGTTTACCACAGTGTTACAACGAATGCGTTGATAAGAACGACCTTCTAAACTTAATATATCATGTAAACATATAGCTATTTATAGAATTTTACATACTATGTGTACCGGATGTAGTTGCGATTTAATACTGACTATAGAAGACACAATATATTGCAGCCTGCAATGTGACAAATAAATTTGAACCAGGTAGGATATTATATTGTTATCTTATTTCATGTGCAAACAAATAATTATACAACAGAAAAAGCAAATAGAACAAGCTTTACTCATGACAATATTCACGAAATGAAAATGATCAATAATACATTTGATAAGTCATGTGACATGTGTGAGTAACGTGTACAAATGCACCATTTATTTTTTTTTAATTTGCCAACGGTCAAGCTCAAATCAATATGAACGAACACATATTATTTATGGAACAAAACTTAACATGAATATTATAAATTTACTTACAGGTAATATATTTATAACGATAAAATATACTTAAGGATGTTCGCTACTCTTGTTTTTGACTTTTTGTCAGATATTCGGAATCCTCTAGTTTTATCCATGTGGTGCCAATAAAAATTTTGCCCACTGACCCCTACTTTTCTTTTCATAATTTTCTTGCATATAGTTTTAAAAGTCATTTTTGAAAATTTTATAAAATCCTTGTTATTTTTTCATTGTTTTTGAAAAGAAAAAGGTGTCAATGTTAAATGTATGAAAAATCTAGAGAAAACCATTTCCCGCCAATTTTTCAATTGATTATATCTCAAAAACTAGAACACGGACCTATCGTTTTTTTCTAATCTTTAAGTTCCCTTATTCATATTCTTTCAATCTATAACAGTCTTTTATAAACCTTGTTATTTTGAAACAGAGGAGCAAACATCCTTAAGGTACATATTCTTTAAACTAATGTCATTTCACTATACACAGGCATGCACTAATGTCATTTCACTATACACAGGCATGCACTAATGTCATTTCACTATACACAGGCATGCACTAATGTCATTTCACTATACACAGGCATGCACTAATCAATTCACTCATACGTATTTACAGCACTGTCCAATCATATATATCTATAAAATCGGAAAATTACATATTACTATTGTTTAATATAAATAATACATAGAATATACTCGCATAAAGAATAAAAAAATTAACTACACTGAAAAAAATATAGGTGGTTTGGTAAACATAATTACGAACTTCCACAAATTTCGAATATTTCAAATCCTTCAACAAACTCCTCAAGTAATACTCAATCATGCGACATATATGTGCCGGACTATATATGTATTTGGACAATACGTGTATTGGCATGACCATATGCGTATACTCGTATATATGGTCCAATCATACGCATATGGCCGGACTATATGAGTATTTTACTTGTTTGGTTTTCAACGGGCTGGACCATTTTTAGTATTTAGAACATATCGGTATTTTTCGAATATATTTTAACTTCCTTCGCAGGAACACACAGCTCGTTTTCCGAATAAAAAATCGACACAACTGAAATCCTAAATATTTGACATATAGTTTGAACCTTTTGTGTATCTTTTATCTTGCCCTCACTAGAGTCAGTTTAAAGCGCCCGTCGCCGTTTTTGTCCGTAAGTGAAACATGCGTTTAAAGAGGCACTAGCTGTCAAATTCATGTTCACCGATTTGACTCAAACTCATATTCGACTTATTGCATACTAAAACGTATATCCAAATAAAAAAAAGAGTATAAAATAAACAATTTACGATGCATAAACTCGAAATAATATATCAGCATTCCGTGTGTATTTTAGTCTAGACACCATCTAATTAACCATCGAGATCACCGTCCGAAGACTGCCTAGGGTTATATAACCCGATATAAACATAAACATAGATATAAAAAGATAGCGAACTCGTTCAATTGGATTTTTCTTGGTCTGTTTTATAAATTTTATTATAGGTTAAAACAATATGTTAATAATCGTTTTTACCTGTATAAGAATGATTTTTGCAGATCAAATCAGTCAACCAAATGGTTTACACTTGTTTCACTTTCAATATTGACATTCTTTTTCCTTTTACTAGCTGAACACGCCTAGTTCATGTGTAACCCATCTTTAGCTAAGAGGTTCAATTGAAGTTCACATGAATACGGATTTAATGAGGTCGAATTTTTCACTTGCAAGTGAATTATTCATTAGCGATGTTTCTTTGCTTATTATTACAAAACTGAACCAAACTGGCTGTTAAAAGCGAATTTTTATTTCACTATTTCACTTTCATTAATGATTGAACAAAAAAATCCTGTTTTATTTTTTTGTATATCTTGTAGCTAGTGCCCCTTTTAGAGTTAGAAATAGATCTTTTTACCTTCTTTTTCCCCGGTGTTTAGATTTATTTTGTTTTTATTTTCCACATACGAAAAGAGGGGCATCAATTGTATACTGCCTCTTCTTTTTACAGATATGTGCAGAAAATATTGTATGATGAGAATAATGTCAGCAAGAATAGGCAGACATGTAAATTTTTTATGTCTTAATCTCTTCCTGTTCATTACATGACCTTAATTGTTTACCATCTTTTCCTTTTACAGATATTTTGTGTGTAGAAACATATTGTATGAAGAGAATGTTGTCAGCAAGAATAGGCAGACATGTCAAAAGGCTTGCAATTAACTGTCCGAAGTTATATTCTTCAACTGTTGACAAGGAAACAGAAGCTGTATCAGATGGGGCAAAATCTTTCAGAGAAATTCCAGGTCCAAAAGGAATGTACAATATTCCATATTTTGGAACGGCTCTACATTTTAAACCGTTCAGTAAGTAAGAATAATGTCCTTTTACAAAAACAACTCGTTATCTGCGAAGACAGTGATCAGAAACAAGACAACGTGGGTAAAATTTTCCGACGTGAAAAGGTTTTCAAATTCCTCATCATTCGTTTTTAACTGACTATATTAAGTTTAGTTTGCGCAATATGTTAATTGGTTTTGAAATTTCGTTTTTTATATTTTTTCTTAACCGTTAAAGTCTTGGTAAGTAACAAATATTTGGTATGATATGTTTTAGTTTTATCGGATTTGATGTGGTCTTATTTTGGTTCATATTCCCCATGCTTCCAGACATTTGTCCATTTGTTAAAAACAGGTCGAATCAGCAGATTGCAAAAAAGTAACAACAAAAATACTGAATTCCAACAAGGTAAATTCAAAAAAAGGGAATTCAAAGTCCAAGTTATATACCTTGCTAAACCTGCCACTCTATGAACATTATTTATAGTTCCGTCATATTATAAACATTGGTTGAGTAACCCAACCAGACATACATTTGTAATTGGTTGATGTGATACTAATTAGGACCCATCAGGCAAAAGTGGTATGTAAACATACATCACATATATACAACACAACTGAATACAAAATCAAAATAACCGTACAAATAAATTAGGAGATAGCTGTATTGTATTTTAAACTTGGCCTTCGTAAAACGTAGATTTTACTGTCGCAAATTGAGTTTACCTAGCGACGCGGAGCAATTCAAAATGGTGGCTTTCTTAGTTACGGACTGGAAGAACGTGGAATCTAACCCTTCAAAATATTTGTCAATTTAACGTCCAATGAAAATTATCGTTACAAATGAATTGCATTAGAATAGTTGATAGTAAATCTGACATGTTTTTGTAGTTGATAGTACATATAGTTGCCGCACTAGTATACCTTTATTAAATACTATAATATAATATAAATACAAGGGTAAAAAAAGTAAACAGCACTAAAAACCTCTTCCGTCCGAAATTGCAAAGAAGACTGTTGACTGTCTATTGTCGTCTAATGATACATTTGACATTTGTGCGGCCAGTCATACAATAAGCATTCGTCATTATATTTAAACTACTAGTACACGTATATGTCCACTTTTATAACAGCAAACTATGAACTTAATGACCTACCAGAAATTCTTACTAATATGAGGGAACAATATGGTGACATAGTGAAGATGCGTATTGGCAGAGACTATTTTGTATATATGTTTGATCCGGACTACACCCAGACGGTACTACAGCTCCCATACAAAGAATTCTTTGCATACCAACTGGATTTACCTGAAGTATTTACGAAAAGAACAGGACTACCTAAAAGTTTAACATTAATGTAAGTTTAAGCTACTGTGGATGCATTTATTTTTGAGGGTACCAATTTTTGTAGTTTGAGGAAACATTGTATTTTCGTGGATATTTGATATCGTGGTGTTGCCAAAGTATTATCGCATAGAGAAAAAAGTACTTCATGGAACATGTAAATTTGCGGTTCCCTTATACCCATGAAATCGACGAAAATTGGTATCCAACGAATAATAATGAATTTCCAGTATATGCCAGTTTGAAATTGACTGACATTTGATACAATCATTAATGATTTAGAGCGTATCAGTTATTACACCGGGGGCCGTATCAGTTGAAGTTATTATACCGGGGGCCGTATCAGTTGAAGTTATTATACCGGGGGCCGTATCAGTTCAGCTTTAATGGTCGTATGAAACTTAATTATTATTGAATAAAAGATGAACAATAATCCACAATACAACTGATTGGGTGCTTCGGGTCGGTAATGCTTTGCCTCTACTGGTGGCACCCGTTGTGTTGCTCATAGCAGAAATGGTTTGACGACAAGTCGCTTTTGATGATGCCACAATCGTGGAAAAGAGAAAAGGATTAATTATGATTACGACAAGTGAACCAAGTCAGATGCCTGTAATCAATTGGTTGTCTTTTTAACTGCATATCATATTTTTCTTCGTTTATTGCTCTGTACATCATTTAGTTTCTCGTTTGAATTATTTTACATTTGTCATTTCGGGGCCTTTTATAGCTGACTATGCGGTACGGGTTTTGCTCATTGTTGAAGGTCGTACGGTGACCAATAGTTGTTAACTTCTATGTCATTTGGTCTTTAGTGGATAGTTGTCCCATTGACAATCATACCACATCTTCTTATTCCTATACTCATCCATGGTCATCTATGATACAGATAATACATAACAGTCAACAAAACCATGATAATATTCGTTAATTTAAAATTTCGAAGGGTCGACTTCAGTTTACCATTTGAAACTTTGATTTAGACCTCCCTAAAAACAGTAACCAAAAACAGTAACTAGGTAACACTGAAATATATTATTGGAAAAACAAGCCCTAGATTTTTGTTATTAACTGGGCGATATTTAATGTATATTCAGACTTTGCTTGAATATTGTTACCGAAACAATCGAAGGTTAACATTGCGAAAAATTGAAAACAATCAGACCCTCATGTCAATGTTGGTGTGATGTCAAAATATTAATACGTAGACTTTACTATATCTAGTTCAATGATCAACACTATTTACTTAACTGTAAATGTGTTATTGATAATGACTTGATTGTGCTATTTTGTCATTTTAAAGCAGAAATCAATAAAAAGAATATGTTTTTGGAATGGTACAGAAAACACTATTAAATGGCATATAAAGATACTTTGTATTAACAGATAGAACTAATGTCCCCCGTCTTTCATACAAAACTACACATAAACTATACAGTTTTGTATCCAATAAAGAACAAAAATATCGTTTGACACTGGAAGCGATTTTGTCTGTGTAAATATGACAAGTATGTTTCGGAACAAATCTGGAATGAGCTGCGGAACCATTACTAGTATTTGATTTGTGCTTATCATTCCTCACTTTTGCTATGTTTTAAGATACACTTTATTTTGCATACTATCCTTTTAACTTTTATATGTCATATATGGTATCTTTCTATGCACTGTAATTAAAATGACTAGGCAAACCAATTAGAGCCATAAATGTTTTTTTTATATGAATAACAAATAGGGAAGGTAAGGAGTGGAAGGAGCTTCGAAAACCAGCTCAAGAAAAGATGCTACGTCCAGCCGTGGTTGCAAGTTACGGCCCCTTGATAGAACAGGTTACTGATGATTTTGTTGATATACTCAAACAAAAGAAATCGGTTGATGATTTGAAAATGACATTAATGAACTACACTACTGAGAGTAAGTATACTTTCTATATATTTGTATTATATGCACCAAAATGTTAATTCAAAGAGGTTTATTTTTTCGGAGTTAAAATTTCAAAATTTCAAGTACCAAACCTATCCACGAGATTTTATTTTCGCAATCGCCTTGTCCCTTATATTGATTCACCCAAAAGTTTTATCAAGAAGGGGGATTTCCCTCAATTTTATCTTTTATCTGAAATTTTCAAAAAACCCATTGCAGATATTTCCTTCTTTACAGTTTGAAGAATTAAAAAACTAATTAAACTTAATGATGTTATGTTCTAAACAGACATACCAGTAACTGCATAGAATAAAGCTACATGTTCAAATGAAAACAATACGTCTAAATTAATCACCGAAGTTTAAAAGACGATTTATAAAAGATCAATTATAAAACACATGAACAGATAACTCATAAAAAAATTAGCGAAACCTTCAATCCACATATTTTTCGAACTGAAAGCGTTTAGTACCAGAAATTAAAACATTTCGTGCTAAACGTTTGTTTTTTTATTTTACCTTCATTAGGAGCGTTCAATCCAAACGTGGATAAATCCTACTTTGTAAAAAATCACTCTGATTCAAACAAAAAAATCTCTGAAACTAATATTATCAATATGCTTGATTTCTTGACTGACAACATATTTGTAACCATTGGAGGACGTGTTATTCAACAAACAATCGGCATTCCCATAGGAATCAACTGTGCCACCTTTTCTAACTGACTTGTTCCTTTATTCATATGAGACTGATTTCATACAGGAACTTCTTAGGAAGAAAGAAAAGAAGTCAGCAGTATCCTTTAACTTTACTTTCCGCTATATAGATGATGTTCTCTCACTAAATAATTCAAAATCTGGTGACTATGTTGGACGCATTTATCCCATCGAACTTGAGACAAAGGATACAATAGATAATGTTAGGTCTGCCTCATATCTTGACTCACATCTTGAAATTGATAATGAGGATCGGTTGAAAAGAAAGCTTTACGAGAAAAGAGATGATTTCAGCTTCCCAATTGTGAACTTTCCATTTCTATGTAGCAATATTCCAGCAGCGCCTGCATACGGAGTATATATCTTCCAGTTGATACGGTATTCCAGGGCTTGTATTTCTTATCATATCATAATTTCTTTGATAGAGGGTGACTGCTCACAAGGAAGCTATTAAACTAAGCATTCCGAGTGGTGAAGTTGAAATCATCCCTTCCATAAATTTTACGGACGCCATCACGAGATGGTTTACCGTTATGGAATATCCGTTTCACAGATGATAGCGGATATGTTCCTAATGCCGTTACTACACTCCCGTCCCCCTCTCACGAATGTGACGTACCGAATTATACTTATTACCGGATTTGTACTAACACTAGCAACACGACGGGTGCCACATGTGGAGCAGGATCTGCTTACCCTACCGGAGCACCTGAGATCACCCCCAATTTTGGTGATTCGTGTTGCGCAGCATTTATTTCTCTATGTTGTGTTTTGTGTACTATTGTTTGTCTGTTTGTCTTGTCTTTTTTTAGCCATGGCGTTGTCAGTTTATTTTCGACTTATGAGTTTGAATGTCCCTTTGATATCTTTCGCCTCTCTTTTAGAAAACAAGAATAACAAAGCGTTAGTTTATAGTACAAAAAATAAAGGGACTAAAACAAATAGCCAAATTCATCTAAGGTCAATTTGGCTTCAGGGAGATTGAATCTTAGTATCAACATGTACAAATAAGGCACTAAAAGCGTATTGTACCGTTTTCACATGCGTACACACATAATTTTGTTCCAGGTGTCGCAATGTTGTGCTTTAACAGAAGACTAGGAAGCATCGATAGTGAGGAATCACCCGAGATAGCAAGATGTATTACGGAGTTTTTCACATTGCTTCAGAAATCACTGATAATGCCGTTTAAGACTTTTAAATATTTTAGAACCCCATTGTATAAGCGATTCGAAGAAGTAAGACTACGCATCCAAAGGTAGGTATACGTTTATTGCATCTTTAACGTGGATCATAGGCTTAAAGATCCACTTTGTAGAAAAAGTAATTGTTTTGATAAATAAGAAATCTTCGATAAATGACAAGTTCAAGCTGGTTTCTTCCTCATACGTTGCATGAACAACACGACGGGTGCCACACGAGGAACAGGACCTGCTTTCCCTTCAGGAGCACTTGATTGATTATTTTCAGACCACCTATTTTACGACTTTACTGTAGTTCAAAATCTTAGGTAAAATAAAAATTCGATGACTATATTATGAATAAATGCTGTCGGGCTGCATCAATGTTTGAATGACTGTAGGTTCTGGTAAAATATGTTGTCTTAAATTAGCAGATTACAAATTTGAGGCAACAGTAGTTTTCTAATGTTCAAATCTCATTATTCTACCAAAAGAAGCGAGACATGGGGCGTCGAAAGGATACGTGTCTCCTGTTATGAATCACCTGCCGCGCAAATCCACACTAGGTTAAACTCATAACTAGAAATATGGCGATTTAAAGAAAAAATAATTTGTTCTCATTATACTCAATACAATTGTTCTGAAATTGTCCTAACATTTTGCATATTTGAAACAAACATTAAGTCTATGAACTGTGTTAAAAAATATATAGAGTACTCATATTTGTCTTATCAAGCATTGTAGAAAAGGAATTAAAGGCACAGCTTGATGTCTTGAATCAGCTGAAAAAGGAAAATCAGTTAGATGATTACTTACAAAAAGATCCCAACTTTATGTACTCAATGTTGGCAGACCCTAGAATGACGCTTGGAAAAATTACTAGTATAGTGACAACATTATTTAGTGCAGGAATAGATTCAGTAAGTCTTCTTCAACCCCTTTATATTAATTCTAGGCATGTGGAAATTTTAACTTAATTCAACTAAAACATCCTACTTAAGTAGATATTCATTAAAAAGTATCAACACAAGAGCAAATGAAGTATTCAAATAGACTCCAAAAATACATACACACATTGAATGGGACAAATTTACAGCAAAGGTTTTCCATCTGGTCACCAAAGGCTTATATCCTCAGCGGAATTTAATCCCTTGCTGTGACTTCGTTGCAGCACCCTACACAATTTTAATCCTGGTATCTATGGTGAGTTTATTAAAATATATATTCTCTAGTACTATCTTTATCAGCTTTTGAGTTGTTTAAGGTTTTCTTTAAATGTCTGTTATATATAAAAACAATGAGATGCCAACGAGACAACTATTCACCAGAGATCAAAGTACATAATAACAGCTATATGTCACTACACGGCCAAAGCTTCCTAAGGTCAACCTTAGTTTTAAATACCTATCAAAGAAGTATTTCAAACAAAATATTTTGTGGATGACGTCAATACCGATCACTGACCACTAAGGTAATGGTACACTAGCAGTCCACCAGCAGAAGTATTGACCCAATACTATGAATTGATAATATCCTTTGCCACAGTGTTAGAAAATGACAATTAAATTGATAAATTTGGAAATAAATGTTTTTTTCAGACAGCCAACAGTTTATTATTTGCCTTGACTGATTTAGCCTTGCACCAAGAAAAGCAGCAGAAATTGTACCAGGAAATTCAGACTGTTGTTGGAGATAGCACACACTTAACCAAAGAACATTTAGCTCAAATGTCATATCTAAAGGCTTGCATCAAAGAATCACAGAGGTAATGGTTTAATACAGTCCTTGATTTGTGTAAACTTCCCACTAACACCATTACACCATTACACAATAAACCATACACCATTAGAACATAAAAAAATCCCAGAGGAAATAGTTTGATAAGTCATTGAATGGTGTAAACGTTTTGTTACATTGTCACATAAACTATCATGCTCACCCAAATTTGTCAATGCAACTGAACTATTAACAACTGTCAAACAAGATGGAGGTTTAGCTAGCTATCAAACCAGGTATAACCCACCATTTTCGGAAATTCCTGTACCTAGCCAGGAATATAACAGTTGTTTTTCACTCGTTCCGTTGATTGATAACGTAAGTTTTGTCAGTTTTTATGGAATTTCCTCTTTTTGAATTGAACTTGAAGTTCGGTACTTTTGTTATACTTTTTTTCTAATTACACTAAACACCAAACACGATCACACCATACACTAATACACATCAAAAAATCTAAGAGTAAAAGAGAGGCGAAAGATACCAGAGGGACATTCAAACTCATAAATCAGTAAATGTTTTAATAAGTCCTTGAATGGTGAAAATGTCCCACATACACAACAAACCAATACATTATGATACACCATAAACCATTACACAATACATCATAAAACATCACAAAGATAATGCTTATATAAGTGTTTGAATGATGTAAACTTTCCATTTATACTATCTACCATTACATAATACACTATACGCCATTACACCATCATAGCATTACAGAGTGAAAATTTTAATAAGCACTTGAAAGGTGTAAACTTTCAATTTGGACTATTCACAATTACACCGTCAACCAAACATTATTACACCAACAATAACATGAATAAGTCACAGAGTGAATGTTTAAAGGGGACATACAAAAATAGTCAAAGTCACATTCAAATTTGGCCGATGAAGTTGAACTCATAGTTTCTTTTAAAATAATTTCTCAATTTTAAAATGTTAACAGTTTGATTTTGATTTACTTTGACATAAGCAGATGTATGAATAATTTTCATAAATTTCATATCAGAATTATTATTTTAATATACTGTTAATCATGTGTATGCGTAGGCGAACGTTCCCTATTATGACAGGACCTGCAAGGTTTATGGAATGGGACACAGTTATTGGTGGTTACACTATTCCAAGAAAGGTTATTATTTTTTTATTTTAAAGAAGATTTAGATCTGAAGTCGTTTTTAAAAGAATGCAATAGAATTTCCATATGTATCGCAAATATATTTTTCATTACAATCTACCCGTCTTTTAAAATTTCAATACAGACTAGGAAGTATGTCTCAAAAGCACCTGTATCTTACATCTGGATACAGAACTTATAAGATTCTTTTATCTCTACTACTTTTATTTTTTTCTTTATTCGCGACACCTATCTTACATCAATAAATTTTGTCAATTTACCATCGTGTGTTAAATATGAAATTTGCGCAACACTTTATCTTTAACTTAAAAAAACGATTTCAGGAATAATTTTACATTAGACTTATTTATTATTATTAAATTTGTAAGCACCTTTTGTTACTTTGGAGTGTGTTTTTAGTAAGACCCATTGGTGTCTTCAAGACCTTCTGACAAATAAGGATATCTGTTTCGAAACTTCTCTTAGCAATGGACCCTAAACATAATTTTTATATTTGTTTTAATTCTACATTAAACTAAGGGCTCAGCAATGTTTATTGTCAATCTGAACTGTTAAAGTTATAATTCAGCATTTGCTATCAATTTCTAAAACTTTTATTGGTGCTATCACCTACCATAAGTGTAACATTTTTTGCATGAATAACATAAAATGCATTAATAGTTTCGTAAGTGGAATGAGAGCTGCTAGAATGTCCGAATCATTTGTGTTTTTTTGGTGCTACCTATTTTATACAACTAGTTCATAAATGTTTTGTAGTATATATTTGTGTTTATCAAATTCTATGCGACTGCCACACAAGTGAAAGGTTTAGCTAGCTATAAAACCAGGTTTAATCCACAATTGTCTACATAAGGAAATGCCAAAATATGACAGTTGTTTTCCATTCGTTTGATGTCTTTGAGCTTTTGATTTTGCCATTTGGGTACAGATGCGCAATTCATTTAAAAAAGGCGGCAATGGTAGCATTTTCCTCAATTCCTCTGCTCATATCGTAAACTTGGATATGTTTGATGACTCGTTTCGAAGCTGAAACATTTTCACATATGTGGTTAAATTTTCAGGGTACAAAGTGCGATTCATTTTTCCGTAAATTAGCACACCCCGAAAATCCTTTCGTGATGCGACTCCTTGAGGTAAAAAAATCCCTTTTTTCACACAATAAATTCTTTGAAAATTTAGTTCTTTGCATACATTTAATAACTCATAGTATTTAAACCTTTGTTCTATGTTCCTCTGCTCTCCAAATCTGCACAAAGTGTTAAGCTCAGTCACTTGTTAAAAATTGAAACATGTTCAATATCACTACACAGAGATTTTTGTTTACGCCAAATTTATGTGTTCCTCAATTTGAGGCGCATTAGGCATATTGACCCATTTGATAAGGGCTTTTCCGTTTTGAATTTTCCCTGGAGTTCTGTATTTGTAAGCAAAACAAAATATTTCAAATAAATCAGCTGTCAGGCAATTATGTTTGTTGAGCTTGCTCGCATTTTTTTTTGTAGATATAAAGGAACTATATACAACTGTCATGCAAGTGGGAGATTTAACTATCGTAAAACCAACTATTTTGTCTTTTTGAATTACACTACTGTATAAAATGCAACAATGTAACTTTAACTTTGAAAACAAAGCAATGACGATATTACCTAATTTTGAACTCGAGGAGGATTTGAAATAACTAAATAATTGAATTTTATTACAGACATTAGTCAATCTTAATATGGCAGCTATGGTAATCGACGAACGATTTTTTCCGAAGGCGAAAGAATATATCCCAGAAAGATGGCTAAGAAATGTCAATGATGAAATTACTAAAGGCCAGGAGTTCCCTTTTGCTTTTAAGCCATTTGGATTTGGTCCAAGGGGTTGCATTGGTCAAAGATTTGCTGAAATGGAAATGCAAATTGGAATTACAAAGGTAGTTTAACTAATGAGAAACAAAAATTATGTAGTATTAAATTATGACACAAACGTCGCTTGATCTACTAGAATATATAAAAAAATAAATGCCGCCTTTTTTAATTTGCCGTTTAGTATTTCAAAGTCACAATGAGCACTTTAAGTAAAACTATATAACTGAGCCCGAAAATTCATTTTTCAATTAAAAAAAAAGAAGCAAACACTTAAAAATACAGTTACATATAGATACTTCTTAACCATGTAGAAAGGTTTTATTATGCACTTTGAATGTGATAAAATATGATGAAAACTGTATAGTCATTATAGAAGCATTAAATCTAGGAAAACAAACACTTCTCAGTATTAAAACACCACCACTACATAACGTCCGAATTTGAGCTGGACATACAAAACGTATTCAACAGATACATTTACGGTGTTTATAACACCACCATTCATAACTATACCAACAGTATACAAGTAGATATTATCATTTGTACAGAGGAGGAGTCAGACTTTATTAATTGTCGAGATTTGCATCTAGTGCAGAAACATTGGAAGCGTTATTTTATTGATACTTGTACATTGAGATGAGGGGAATTAAATCTGTTCAATCATATTCAATTGGAACCCTTACAACATATGCAATGTAAAGCTGTCAAGAAAGTATAAGTAAAAAAAGATTTAAATTATACTGCAATGAAATGCAAGGTATATTTCAATTGTACATTAGCATGTTTAATAACATAATCAGCTAGATTATATTTTTATAAAGAAATAACCAAACTATGTGTTTTCCTTTCTGTATAGAAATAAAATAGGACTGATGTCGTTTATGTCTTTAAAACACTCAGTAGACGATGTGAATTTCACCTTGAAGACAGATCATGATCTTTTCGAGTCAAAAATATATTTGATAAGCTTATCTGAAATACCAAATATGTTCGATAAAGGTTTGTTCATGAAAAATATTCTGGATAAGTGGCACACAAGTACAAAGATTGGATACTAAGTACTAGTATGACAATATTTTTGTGTGTCTAGTTGTCAATTGACGCTCAACAATGATGCAAACGACAGATATAAACAATTGAAAAAAAATCAAAACAAAATAGAAGAAAATCAATAAAGTATAGAATTAAAAAATGAAATACCTAACAAAAGAACTAAATTATTTGGTGACTTAGAAAAATAATGCTTTTTGATGATCATTTCTTCTGTCGATGCAAAACACATGGAAACTGTTTTAAAATGCTAATTGGAAAACCATTTTTTCACTTGCTGGTTGTTACCACGTTTGGACAAATTATATATGGATTACCCTAACTATTATAACTTTGACGCGTCTGAAGCGCTTAAAAGATTGACCTTCATCTGGAACTCTCAAACTCAATAATGTGCATGAAAGAATATGATGTATCAGTACTTAAACACGTGATAAGAGAGACATGAAAGTTTCCATTTGCTTAAAATAATTGTTAAAACATTGGGCACATGCATGGGAACCATAATTTTTGTTTGGATGCATATCTCACATATATACATCTTTTTATAACAAATTTACCTTGATCGAAGGGTGTAGCCGATGATTCTTTTAGAAATATATAGATCTTAAAATTGCAGTTAAACTTAAAAATAGCTACACACGATATAACATCAAACTTAAGAAGTTGTTGAACTTGTTGGAAACAAACTTAAAAAAGGATAAGTTTGTCTAAATTGGCATATATTAGAACGGAAATATGGGTTTGAGAAACAGTTTTACAGAGTTCGATTTTTAGGGCAAAATTTATTCCTTCGTGGCCCTACTTATTTGTCTGAGGTAGTTAAAAACTTAGTTTCTGAGCGTTACTGGTGAAGGTCAATCTTTTCATATCACATTTCAAATGATTTAAAATAATATAATAGAAGTTCCATAGGAAATGATAAATATAAACAGGAAAATGGGTGATAATGAAACTATGAATAATATTCTTTTCCAAAATGTCTACCCCTATCATTTTTTCTTCCCTTCATTCGATATCTAAAAACATGAATATTTCTTAATATTTCAAATTATTTAATGTTTTAAGAGAGTTTAATGTCTGCTTGATTACACACATGGTAACGTGAAATCCTGGTTAAAGCTACCACTTTTACTTAAGAGTTTGTAGGATGTACATAATTTGAATTAACGGATTGAATATTTTGTAATTATTTATCTAAATCATTCATAATTAAAATTAATGTTTTAGCTCCTTCGAGATGTTGGTTGACGTTTTTGACTGTTTGGTGCAGAATGTGTAGTTGACTTGATAACCAACTTATCTATATTTTGACTCTCATTAATTAAAGTTCTGTTACCAGGTGCAAGTTTCCAGTGCTGTGGAATATATTCCGTTAATACAATACTGGGATGTATAATTGTTTTATCCTTTATTTTTACAGATTATTCAAAACTTTGAGATTTCAATGCCACCTGGAGTATCAGAGATTAAAACAATATGCCGTACATTTACATCACCTGCACAAAAGGTCACACTTCAGATGCAAGAAAGAAAGGCTATTGCTGAATAATTGTTCAGAAACCGAAATATTAATATGATTAAGAATATATATATGTATATATGTATAAACAGAGTTATTAGCAAGTCTAAATTAAAAACAACGACCAAACCTATGATTGCGTTGGATAAAAACCGCAATTTTTATACGTGTGCATGCAAAACAAATTTCTTGGTAGACAGAGTTATTAGTACATACTTCGCCGATTGCTTTTTTAAATATCAGATGTTTTATGATTCATGTTTATAATTATCATTTATTTTATCAGAATTTTACCAGCATTTTATCAGAAATATCGAAACAGATTTCTCTTTGTAAATGCATTTGCTGAATAAGCGATGTTTCACTTCGTGTTAAACATCAGGTCGTGAATAAATATAGATGACACATGTATATTTAGCGGATAATAAATGTAAAACATAATGCTTCCAGGAACAAGGACGTAAACATTTCCAACACTATTCAAATGTACATGTTATATGTCAATCTTTTAAGTAGATACAATTATCATAGATACCATATATACAATTTTGTACGCCAGACGCGCGTTTCGTCTACGAAAGACTCACCAATGACGCTCGAATCATAGAAATTGAAAAGACTAAATAAAGTACAGTCAGCAAAATCTAGGTACAAATCCCGCTTAAAGCCGTAATTGATCGGTTGTGATTTCTAAAATTCTGATTAATTTAAAAATTAAACCTTTGATTCATGTGGTTCTATTATTATAATGTTGTGTTATTCCATATCTCCTTATTTTTATATTATTATCAAATATATTTTATTTCATCTTCCTTTAAAACCCATATTTTAAACAACCCCAATTTAAATCTCCTAAACAAGCTTAAGCTTATCTCGTGATCATAAATAACAACAAATAATAAAGTGCAATACCACACGGCAGAGCCAGGGCATGTTTTAACAACAATTTAATAACATTTTCAGGAGCAAATTACGAAATATCTTGATAATATCATCATCATACATACATTGTATATAATCAAATAACAATAAACATATGTAAATCATCTCAATATCTTGATGCAAATCAATTTAGATAGCATATACATGAAACTTAACATGACCGAAGATGTAAATCCTGTTGTGCCGAGTGAATTAACCGTAAATCACACAAAACATACCCTAAATGCCATCTATAGGCAGACAATTAAGAGAAAATAATTTCATTCTAATTCATGAAATCGACTGACTGAAATTATACATGTTTGTCCTTTAAAACCATTTTTTCACAACCAGAGATTTCTAAAAAAATTATCTCATGATAATAAATAACAAAAAGTGAGTTCAATACCACGCATAGCCGAGGGCCAAAAACCCAAAGAACGGGACAATTTTGAGGTTAAATCTATATCATGAAATAAAAGTATTTTAAATTAACACAAAACAAACTATAATTCTAGATTGTTGGACACTTCAAGCAAAATTTCTAAAGAGTATCTTTGGCTTTTTTGGAACGCCATCTACCGTGTCACAAAAAAACCACGGTAGATCTTTTCACCACAGAACACCACCTCACATCGGCCAAAAATCACATAACACATAAAAAAGTAAAATCACAAAAATACTAAACTCCGAGGAAAATTCAAAACGGAAAGTCCCTAATCAAATGGCAGTCAAAAGCTCAAACACATCAAACGAATTGATAACAACTGTCATATTCCTGACTTGGTACAGGCATTTTCTTATGTAGAAAATGGTGAAATAAACTGGTTTTATAGCTAACTAAACCTCTCACTTGTATGACAGTCGCATCAAATTCCATTATATTGACAACGATGTATGAAAAAAACACACAGACATAATAGGTAAAAATGTCAAAATTAGGGGTACAGCAGTCAACATTGTGTTATAATCTTAATCACTAAAAAAACAAACAAATATGTCACTAAGAAGTACAAAAAGGCAGATACTAGGTAGACAAAGCGCATTAGCAAAATTGAAAGACAAGAATACAAAAATTTACAATAGCACAATAACACAATGACGGGATGTATAAGTACAGAGCCACGTCTAACATACCTATCTATATCATTTTCATCTTTGCATGAATTGACATAGTTGACTAACCTTCTGAACGAGGATGAATATGTTCATACATATATATGTAACTTGAAAAGGAAATGATAACCAGATAACGAAAACGAAATTAACAGTCTTTCATACATGGGCAGTTGTTAGAACAGTACACTTATTATTTCAAATAAAATTATTGTGAAAATCTCCAATAAAATAAAACGCTCCCTTAACCTTGGTATCGGGTCACCTCGATTAGTAAAATTAAATTATGGCCCATAGATATTTATCGATATCAAAATTTCATGAACCCATTAACAATTCAACGATTTTAAAACAAACAATACTGGGGAGTCACATTAACTCAAAAAAGTGCGATACTAGTTGGTCGACACGGTAAGCGTCTCCTGCTATGAAAGCAGATCCCGCTGTGCCGTTCCCAGAATTTTGCAGCAAAAATGGCATACAATGGTGTAACATCTGCTCAAGGATATCATGATTACAAATAATCAAGACACAGTTACATTTATTATTAAGGCTATAAGTTACCTAGAACTGTTTGCAGTTAGCAATGTCAAGCTTATGGTAAGTTATATACCTATATGGAGTTATTTTCTTCAGAACGACAGGTCATTCTGTTAAAGTTATAAAATAATGACCTACGTCAGGTCGTTTTTTACCATAATGATAATGCAAACTACAGAATATTAAAACATTTAATTCGCGTGTAGTAGCCAATTTGGGTTTTACTGTACAGTTTTCTTTTTTGAACATTTTTTAAAGTTTAGGCAGAAACAATCCCTTCCTCCGTTTATTCGGCTGAAATAAATAACATTTACTCTATTAAACGACAATATATTTCTATTTTAAATAGGGGAACAGTCACGAAGGGGGTATGATATTTGATTCTGATTCTCAATTTTTGAAGAAATAATTTTATTGGCAGGAATAAGAGATAAAACTATTATTCTGAAAAGGTTGTTAAAAAATAGTGACACAATAATCTAAGAGTACAAGAAATTACTTATTGTAATTGCATTTTGTACTAATAAAGTATTTGCTTACATTTGAGTTGCGGCATATGACACACTGTTCTTTTGTTTAAGACTAAATTATATGTGTCACGCGTCTAAAAATAATAACAGATTATTAAAAAACATCAAAAGGCCATGTCCTACAACCAAGCCAGGTTAAATATTATATTTGACATTTTAATAACTATATAATTGATTATACATTTTATAATAAACAATATAATCGTGTGTTATTTCGGTTATTTCGCCGTAAAGATACATAGGATTCACCTTCAAAATAATGAAAAACAGACGAACAGTTTTACAATTGTAATGCAATTTTTATGTAACAATTTTTTTTTTCATTTGCTAAATTCAACCTTCATAAAGGTTAAACAAAAATACCGAACTCTAAGGCAAATACAAAAAGGGGAAGTCCATAAAAACTGACAAAATCAAACGTTATTAATCCTCAGAATAAGTGAAAAACAACTGCCATATTCCTGACTTGGAACAGGCATTTTCATAAAAAATCCATAGTTTACATGTAACTAAGGATTAAGCCACCATACTGAATTGCTTGGATATAAATCAACTACAATAGAATTGAAAAAAATACAACACCTACCTCAAAAACGCCATTTTGATGTGATTTAATTCAAATTTGAAAGAAAAAGTAACGTAATAGCCTTCAATTTGGTAGTTTTCATGTATATGACGTCACGTTTGGCCATTCTGTTTATGCGCCAAAATCATTCATGAAGTTTTGCGGAATTTGATTTATTGTTATTTAATCAATTTTATTTCTTTTGTTCATATGACTTTTGACGTTACCCGGTATTTAGGCATCCCGCCATCGGGTTTTTTTTACTTTAGACATTACTGGTGCAGGTGGGTCCTGAGGAGCGATTCGGACACAAAGGATTTTTCTACGTGTTATTTCTATTTTGATTACACTTGTATTTATATTTACTCAATTTTTACTTTATCGAGAAAGTGTATACTATATACGGTATGTACTATCAACGACAACAACTTTTTTGTGACGCATTGTCAAATTTACGTCAGTGATGAGACATTTGTAGACGAAACGCGCGTCTGGCTTACAAAATTTTAATCCTCAGGAGCCTGTAATTCAGTGGTTGTCGTGTGTTGCTGTGTTACATATTTGTTTTTCGTTCATTATTTTGTACATAAATTAGGCCGTTAGTTTTCTAGTTTTGTCATTTCGGGGCCTTTTATAGCTAACTATGCGGTATGGGCTTTGCTCATTGTTGAAGGCCGTATGGTGACCTATAGTTGTTAATTTCTGTGTCATTTGGTCTCTTGTGGAGAGTTGTCTCATTGGCAATCATACCACATCTTCTTTTTTATATATAATCAATTTATTACTATATACTACACCTTTTTTGTTGTCGTGTTTGCTAGATTATTTTGTATGCTTACACAGATTTGGCTGCTGGATTCTAATTATTGTCACATTAACCTATTATGTCTGATTGGGTTGCTTACTCAATGTTATCAATATAACGGAACTATAAACAACTGTCATACAAGTGGGAGGTTTAGTAAGCAATAAAACCAGGTTTAATCCACCATTTTCCTCGGAAAATGCCTGTACCAAGTCAGGAATATTGCAGTTGTTTTTCACTTGTTCCGTCGATTGATAGCGTTTGATTGTGTAAGTTTTTGTGGTCTTCTCCTTTTTGAATGTGCCTTAGAGTTCGGTATTTTTGTTCCCAAATTGAAATTCAAATTTAGGATCATCTTCAATCATTAATAAGGAATCCTCGATAACAGGCCAAGAGATGAACACGTTTTTAGTTAACCATGTTTACCTCTACCTGTGAACCATCTGCCCTGTTATCTTGCTCAGAAGTTACGGAGAAAAATATACGCAGAAACCAATTTCATTAATATTGCTTTTACCTAAGCTACATGAAAAATAAAACTATTGAAACTGTACCTAAGTCTGTGACAATTATGCAAATGTCAGTTGATACCAACAACATGTATTCGGATTATTTACATGTTATATCATCTATGGTTCGTCTGAACAGGTTTCATACCGAATCATGTTGCAAATTGCAGAATACAGAATCCCTCGTATTGACAAACCTGAGATTATAAAAGGTATTTTCCTACAATAAATTACATTAACAGAGGTATTGATTTTTTCAGTTTGTCAAGTATTTTTACTGACCCTACCGTTCATAACTTTATACCTCCATATTTTTATCACATAGAGCCACCTATAGTTTCTTATACTATTAAAAACCAAGTAGAAGTTTAATTTATATCAGATGTCAGTATATAAAACAATTCTCCTACAAGATGGGACTGTGAATCATCAAAGTTTAAATATTATCTATTTGGCCATGTACTTATAAGGGCCCTCAACATCGTTCAAGACCGATGTTTATAAACTTTCCTAAAAGGACCAAAATATGTATTTAGATTATTTTATGTTCGCTTCGGCAGACAAAACAGCCAAAACTTAGGTAATGGTATGACGTGAATACTACACGGAAGTTCTTAAGAAAGAAATTATACCTTTATGTATCTACATTCAAGGTGGTGTGCTACAAAGAGAGTCACATTATAAGTTATATGGTTCACTACTGGCCCTCTACGGATCCTTAGAGGGTTAGTAAAATCCATAGGAGATTCGGCCTTCGGCCTCACCCCGTATGGATTTTACTAACCCTCTATGAATCTGTAAGGGGTCAGTAGTGAATCGTATAACGAATATCACACACGGGACTTTTCCTGTCAAGTTTTGTATAAAAATAAACAATGAATAAATAACATTAATAGCTGACGTCACCATTAATAGTAGACGTGACGTCATGAACCCTATATGAAATCTACTAACCCCATACGGATCCATGGGGTCACCACGTAACGGGGTTACACCAATCACAACGTCACTATTTATCCGAGGTGCGATAAAGTATATAATCACGTCACTACCACAGCTC